AAACGGACAAAAAGAAATATTATTATAAATAATTCGTATCCTACAAACGAAATAAGTACATAATCCTTTATACTTATTCCATTTATTATTTTTCCTTATATAAATTAGTACATGTAAACTGCAGTTAACCGTTAAAGACACAATCTCGTGGATGTAACAGCTAAACTGCTAGAGCCTAGACTGCCTAGAGTGATCGAGACGATTTTTTGAAAAAGAAAAAGATTTTAACTCAAGTATAATAAATAGGGTCTGGATTTATACGCTCTAAAATCCTCAGAGAAATATATCCTATAAAATAAGAAATAAAAAAAAAATCTTTTATTTTCATTCAATATAAATAAATAAAATCGAATAAAATTTAGATGCACTCAGATCATGATAAATACAACTAATGTATGATTCGATTAAACCTACTTAATAACAAATTACTACTATAGGTCTCAGATAAGATAGAAAAAACGATTTCGCTAAATTACATGAACTATAAATATAACTATAAAAACGTTATTTTAATTAAAATAAGCAAAATATTACATATTATGCATTTAAAAACCGTGTATATACGAGTACCTACAATAAAAAAATCATAAAATACAGTAATATGCAATACATTTCAAAAAATGACAAAATATGCAAAATAAAACTTTAAATATCAGATCTATTGATTACAAATCAAAATTGAGTTACCTAGCTATTTTTGGTCAGTTCAGAAAAGCATGCAAATGCATATAAATCCGGGCCCAATAACAATACGTTGACAATTATATAACAATACGTAATGGAACGAAGTACAACAAGAAAATGATGAACACCACCGAAATCAGTTCCTGAATCATGTGCTTCCACACGTTGATGGACGACACGCCGTGCTGCGCGCTGTTCTCCAGCAGGCAATCCGTCGAGGCGCGCAGGTCTGGTGCCGCCGTCGCGTTCGGGTCGCATCCCTTGTGAAACAGCATGTTCGTGCTCACGTTGTACGATAGCACGGTGGCCGTGAAGTACACGAACAGCATGGGCTCTAACGTTACCGCGCAACGAAACGCTTTGAACGATTTTTGTGTCAGCGTGTACTTCGCCATGATTATGGCGCCGTCGAAGATACTCGAGTACCTAGTCTAAAATAAATCAATTGATTTGTATTCATGCACAATAAAATAATGTGTTTACTGCAGCATTGGGTGTTTTTTTTTTTTTTTTGAACACCAATTAATTTTCAACATTTTTTTGTGTAATATAAAATACTACAAATAGTTTTTTTTTTTCCAGGGATTTAAGAATAAAGTAAGTATTGAGTTTATTTTTTAAAATCTCTTTCAAAAAAAAAAAAAAAAAAATGGCAACGTTTCTCTTAATCTCAAATCTCAATAGTATGAGTATATGAAAGTACACAGATAAATATTTCGGGACATTATAAATTATAACAAATTTACCGATGTCGCGGACTACGATACATCGAAGTATATTATAATAAATAATAATAATATACTTCTTACACGTGTCAGTAATTCAGGTATAACTGCATCATTAAAGTCACCTGTTTGCAATAAGAAATTGCATTTGCGCGTGTCGACCATTAGGAGTTAGGACAGAAGTGCATCATCGAGGTCACCCTTACGCAACAAGAGGTTGCACTGGCACATGTCGATAATTAGAAGTAAAATGCATGCTGGAGACTTTTATTCTACAATAACAAATATTAAAACAACTCCAAAGATATCTATAAAATGTAAGGCCGTGGACACTGTATGTTGGAGCACCGTCGTGTTGAAAAATAATATTTTCTCTTAGAGCTAAAGGAATATCATCAAGCATCATCGGTAATTCGTTTAATAAAAAATTATAATATCGTCTACCATTGAGTGTTCCATCATAAAAAAATGGACCAAGCAATTTATTACCAATTAAATCACGCCAAACGTTTATTCTCCAATTAGTTTGATTATTAGTTTCAAATGCTTAATGTGGATTTTGATCGTCCCAGTAACGATTATTTTATTTATTAATAACACCATTATTTGTGAGCTTAGATTCATCTGTTCATAATATCGAATTTAAAATTAATGAGTTTTCATCTAAACCAGTCATCAACCACGCAACAAAAGCAAGTCTCCTATCTGCATTACCCTGACCTAAATGCTGAACTAAATTTTTAAAAGATAAAATAATAAAATAACAGCAGCATGCAATCAACTGACTGATGAACAAATTATACCTGCAACAAATTAAGAATTGATACGACGCGCTTAATCATTATTTGCTCACGGCGGACAACAATTTGAACAATTTATACGTTAAATTAATTAATTACTAAATAAACTTATAACTTAAATAAGAATTGAATTTGTTATTAATTATTAATACATCCTAATAGATCCATTAAATGTAATGAAATAAACAACATACTTATTTACGTTTTTTCTGCTTTAAGTTATAACTCATATACAAATTACAGTGAAAATTATACAGCAATTAAGATTATAATTATGTGTGACTATCAGCTTAATAATTAGGGAAGAAAATGTCAAACCTAAACAATCCTAGAATAATAGAATAATTATTTTTAAGTTACAAGTCAAAAAACTGTATATCGTGTGTATTTTGCAGTTTTTTAGTTAAATTGCTATAACTTGATTAATTCTGGACTTTGAAAGTTAGTTTAGCTACCAAAATTTATTTTAAAAAATAGGCAAAAAATAATTTGTGGTCAAAATAAGTGGTTACCATTAATAAAAAAAAAGTTGTACTGCGCATGTGTATGTCTAATTAAGTTAAAAATATTCATAGGCCATAAAAATGTGTATTTTTATGTCATAACAACCTACCAAAACACAGAATTCAAATCGCAGAACTCTACGCATATTTATTGAGTGCTCTCAGTTAGTGTTTACACACTGTATATTATATAAAACTCAATTTTACACAATATCATCATATAATTGGCTAATTGAATACCTATTAATCACAGTAATAGCAATTGACAATAACTAATAAAATCAATTTTTTTTACACATTCATTAGATAGTCCATAATTTTTATTAAATACATTTGATAAAAGTAAAGTAACAATCAACAAAAAAAGAAAGATAAAAACTAAAATTTAATTTTAACGGGATTCTGAATTATATTAACTAATGTTTAGTTATAATTGGAGTGTTCTAGCATACCTCGCGAATAATTTGTTAAAGGTGATGCTTTTTAACCCCCATTATAGAGGTAGCGGACCGAATCTATAAACACACCACCTCGTATGATATAGGAAACGAAATTGCTGGAACAACAATATTTTTTACAAATTATTAATATTGAACACCGAAAATTTATTAAAATTTTTAAATATACCTATCCATATAGTTGTTTTAATTAAGCACCCTGCAATATTCTAGTATTTACCAAGAACTGTATTTCAATAAACATATTTTACCGAACTGTATTATGTTTTGTGTTACGTTTTGTTGAAATATAACGAGAGAATTACGGGAGTAATGTGTTATTTTTTCGAAGCTGGTTATCATAGGTATCTTATCGTCGTAAATTTGTTATCACTAAAAATAATATTAATTATTGTAATAATTAATTTTCATTTTTTTAAAAGCCTCTTTCTTATACTCCAAGTTTACTTATTATATTATGGTAGGTACTGGATAGTTGACACTGTGACAGTTGTTATAGTTGTTGGTTTTCGATTTTTATTTATTAGGTATTTCTTTAAATATTAACTATTAAGAAATCAAAATAAGCAAATTTATATAAGACTACAATGCAGAAATACAATTTTAAGTATAAATAATTATGAATTAAAAAATGTGAAGATATTGCTAATATCTAACTGTTAAAATTAACAAAATTATTTAAATTAATATTATATTTATGAAGCAAATAAATTTCTTTAACTATTGGAAAATGCGTTCCAAATTCAAAGTGGTACAAATAAATAATAATTATTTTTAATATTTGTATTAATATAATATATAGGCTGAAATTTACTAATATTAACATTATACATGTATGATAAAATCTATTGTTCATAATTTTGAATAATAGTATAAACCTTAAACTCAAAATAAATTAGAAGAATGTAATCTAGGTTTATTAAGAATAATTTTAATCAAGAAATTAATAGTTATAGACAAAACATTGATATAAGAGGAGTACACACAGAGCTCTAAGAAAAAATTGATTATGCAAAATTTAAACACATTTTGAAATGTTCATAACGTGTATACTTTTCATTCTAATTATTTCAAAATTGATTTTTTTTTTGTACTTGGGGTAAGGGGTCCTTGAATCTCCTCCCCATTTGTACACCACTGATAAATAATAATAGTCAAAAATGTATTGTGTTCAAAATAGTTGAATATAAATGTATAATTTTATTACAGACTATACTATTAAATAATATGGCAATTAATAAAATGTTAATACAGTGAATTATGTACTCAATTACCCAATAAAATAGATTGTTGTACATAATTATTAATTACATATTAAAATGAATGTTTTAAATAAATGGTTCCCAACCTGGGGGGCGTATACACATCGCTGGGGAGACGCAAGCAGTCATCACAAAGTAAAATTTGTATTTATCAAATTGTATTATATTTAAAATTCCACTATAATACTATACTATTTACAATTATTTATATTTTATAATTACTATCATCAATAAAAAGTAGTCTTTCCAAATATTATATAGTTTATTTGTAAAATGTAAAGTAAACAAAAAAATTATAATTTTTTTCAATTTATAGGTGGGGGGGGCGAGATTTTTGAAAATCTATAAAGGAGGCGTAGAATAAATAAGGTTGGGAATCACTATTTTAAACACACACTCCGTATTACATTTAAAATCTATTTGAATAATTAATTCTGTAGATAATTAATAATAACACCAACACAATATTTTTTTATACTTTTTATAGTGTAGATAAGAATAATATACCACATAAAATTATTAATGAATACCTAATGAGTTTATTAATGATGTACTACCTATATATAACTATTATACTCGTATTACAATCATGATTTTGAGTGTCTACCTATTTAATTTTGTTGCGGTTCGATATTAACTTTAATTTATTTATTTATTTATTTATTTATGTACATTGTACATAATGCATATTATATAAAATATTATAATATTATAACGTCATGAGATAAACCAAAGTTAAAAACTTAAGATCTATACATTTCTTAACTTTGTATTATAACATGAATATTATTAATAAATATAATCTTTAACACGTCACTAGTATGGGTATGTTTTGTATCATAATAGGTATCGTGGTAGCAACGTTAGCGTTGTGCTAAGTGCTAACATTATAATTTTTTGATGCTGTGAAATATTTAATAAACTTAGAATAATAAAACAAAAATAAAAACATTTTCTAGTTATATCCTACAAATTTGATTGTTAATAACAATATTGTCATTCAAATTGTTTATAGAAAAACTAAAAATAAATAATTTTTGATTAAAAAAAAATTAATATATTCATTATTTCCATTTTCTACATTATTTGAAATACAAAATTAAAAATTGGCATCGGTATCATCAGAATCATTTAATATGTTATTATCCTCAGCCTCACTTAATAAATATTATAATTATTAATAAATAATATTAATTTATATAAGAGGTATATGGAGTTTTTAAACGATCTATTTTTATTTGAACAAGTGGTTCCTAATATAAGATTAATGTTAGCGGAATGCTAACACCGATACCGATGACGGATTAAGTTTAATTACAAAGAATCATTCATAGTTATTTTCGTAATTTATTAATAAATAAAATAATTTTCCATTATAATTTATTTTTTTAATGAAATTAAATAATTGTCTTGTTAAAATGGGAAAATAAAATAAAATTAATTGATCGAAAATCTATATAATATATTATAGGTACTTATTAATTAATATTGTGTTTCTCCAAATCATCTAAAAATAAAAATTGGTAATTAGCTTCCTACACCTAAATGTATTATTATTAAGATACAGTTTATTTAAATAATTTATAAATAGTAAATTGTTATAGCACTTATAGTAAATATCAACTAGCTTTGAATATATACTTGATTTTAACCAGTTATATAATTATTAATAATAATGAATTT